AGCGGGGGGAGGGAGTGGGGGGAGGGGGGGAGAAAGGGAGAAAGGGGAGGAACAGGGAGGAGAGGAAGTCACTTATTTTATTTAAGACAGAAAACAGTAAAAATCAATATGATTCCCAATAAGCCTGTTTCTGAGCTGATATGAAAGTACGTGAAATCTGGTATGAAGTTTGTTATGAAAGTACATGAAGAACAGTATTATGTATGTGAGCCTTACAAGGAAAGGTTGACTTATGAGGGGTAGACAAAAACGGACATAGTGAAAGATCAGATGGCTAACCTGGTTTCTCCAGTCAGTGGATAGTACGGTGCTGCCTCTGTGGTACTGGAATTAGAGTATTCTACCTTGGTACAGTAATTTAGACCAGTGAAGAGAGGTTTGCAAGATGTCCATGACTCTCTGTTCTCAATCAGAGGTGGAATTACTTCAGTTTTGGTTGGTGAAACCAAATGTAATGTGTTACTGGAAGACAAAAGTGAACCTAGTTATTTTCAAGAAACTTATATAAATATTACTTTAAAATGAAAAGCCCTATTCATTACATTTCTTTTCAAATGAAACACTTTTGAAAACAGTCCATAAAAAGCTTTCTGAATTTAGTGAGAAAACAATCAAATTATTTAATAATAATAATAGTTGTAATGATAAGGAATTAACAACATCTCTTTTACATAGATAGTATCACCATTATTTTATAGAAAAGGAAAGGAAAGCTAATATTACTGACATTGTGTTATCTGCCGCTCGTATCTATGAGACTGGACTCTCGGCTAGTTCAGAAAGAAGGTGGTACTACAAAGGAATTTAGTTCAACTTTAAAATGCCAACAGTTTTCCAGAAAATAAAAAGTAAAATAAAATCCAGAACAGCATTTATTGTTGAAAAACAGAAAGCAAGAAAAAAGAAGGGCAATTGAAATCTTGGACAAGCATATATGTTCTCTCTCTGTATATCAAATACCTGATACTGAATAGCTTGGTTGGAGTCTTTGGAGCAGGGATGCTGAATTTTAACTGTCTATCTTTCATGCCAATATGGGCTTCAAATCCAGACTCATGGTAGATAATGGAGTTCATCTGCACACCACTTCTAGCAAACACTGGGATGTTTATTCCCACATGACTAATAAATTCAATTCCCACTGAGGGTTTAGCAATCAGCTCTGCATGCATCTACAGGAAGAACACAAGAATTACATATACATTTATTTCCCTAAAGAAGACTTTATACCTTTGTATCTGGTTATAAATGCTAGTTCAGACAATGGGATAAGACTACAGAGTTCACAAGGGTGCCTGTATTATAGTGTGCTGGAGCAGACTTGATTAATTGATTAATTGAGTCTGCTGGAGTGTGCTAGTTATCATGCTCCAGCCAGCCTCTGCATCTCATGTATAGTTAAAGCATTTCCTCCTCCTTTCTGAAGTTCAGGGATGCTGATACAAGAGACACTCTGGACACATTAATTAGAGCTGCTCTATTTAAAAAGCTCCCCCACCACTCCTGGAGCATGCGTAAAAATACCCTGAGATTCTGATCTCATTTTGCAAAATTGCAGAAAAAGAAATCATCCAAAGACAGTACTGTGTTAAGTATGGTCTCAACAGAGACTGTGGAGTCTTATTTTGTTACCTAAACTAGCGTTATAACCCCTATACAGTTAATGGGTTAAGTGCTTTGTATCCTCTTTGAGCCCTTCAGTTCATCTTCACCTCTCTCAGCAGTGCCCCCTTTTTTCCTGCAGCTTTCCCTATCTTTTCATTTACACGACCGTCTTCCTATTCAGTACCCTTGGTCTCTGCAATCTATTCATAGCATCTGATGAAGTAGAATGCAGCCTACAAAACTTCATGCCTCTCTGAATGTTAGTCTATAAGGTGCAACCCTGCCCTGCCTTCTGCATACCTACAGACTAACACATTTAGCCACCATTCTTTACTTGCCCATTTCACTGGTGTGTTCCCAAGCAAGACAGTATGCTTGTTGGGAGACTATAATATGAAGATAGTAGTTAAGACGTACGTGCTTTTGGTGCATCTTCATCCCGGCTTTGGCTCCAGGGGTCATAATTCCAGATAGAGCAACCTGGAGTTGAAATCCTGCTCCAGTTGGTAGCTCAAATTCATTGTCCATAAACATGTAGTGAACAAATAAATCTGCCTCGGTGCCTTTTGAGATGGCTTGCACAATCTGTGAATCAAACAAGAAAATAAATGCTGGACAATATAGTACTTTGAGGTACACTTGGTAAAATTGAAATGAACCTAGAATGTGGTATATTATATTTTTAAGGCATCACATCTTCTATATTAACAATTACTATTCAAAACAAAGGCTAAGATAGACAGACATACAGACATATTACTTTACATGGCAGAAGTAAAAAATTAAGAAAAGTTAATGCATCTTTTCATCACCTAAGCCTGAGAAAAAACTAGTGACCACTAGTGATGATGACCAGTGGTGACAGGTGTAATACTGAAAGAATCTAATTAGACAGACTTGGCAAGATTTGGGCCTTACTGAAGTCAGTGACAAAACTCCATGGTCTGAAAATCAAATATAAATATAAAAATAAAATATCAAATATAAAACAGAGTAACAAATACAAAACACAGAGTAACAAATCTCCCAAATCCAGGCGTTTTCAAATGATCTGAACCTTCTCACTCTTCTCTGGATTAGCAATTAGATTTAAACAACTATTGCAAAACCATTGGACTGGAAAGGACCCAAAGGAACTTCTAGTCCAATTGTCTGCATACAAACAAAATTATCATAGCTCATCAACCATGCCATGCCTATCCAGCCTCTTTTAGAAAACTTCCAGCAAAAGAGATTGCACAACTTTCCTAGACCAGTCTTTCCACTATCTTACTGTTCTTATAGCTGGGAAGATGTTACTGAGATTGAATTGAAATCAATATGCTGTGATCAAGAGGTGGTATTAAATTAGTTCATTTGACATTATACTTGAAATACTTTTCTCTGTAGTTTTCTTTTTAAATGACTAATAATATTTCATTCAAATAGCCATGATTTTTCAAAGTAAGCACAAATTAAACCATTAAAAATATCTGGTAGAAAAACCTAATCAGAAATATTCATTCAGCACTCAAAAACATACCTTTTCTGGAATGCTCAGCAGAGTTTTAATGGTCTTTAAAAGCATATTACCAAGAAGCTTGAAATCATTGAGTTTCATGTACCCTAGTTCTTCTCCAAGTATTTGGAGGTAAGCTCTAGCTTCAGGGAAGTCTTTGTTTCCCACTTCTTTTATCAGTTTTTCAAGATTACGTGTTAGTCCAGTCATCAGCTCCTGAATCAAAAGTAGAATGAAATGAGATCCCTTTGAAAAATTGTGTCACTCTGTACAGCCAGTACAACTAAGTGATGAACACACACTAATCTGTACATACATTCTTATTGCTGATAAAACTCAGGATCTTTGATTTGTTAAAATATGATAAAGCAACATCTTTACCTAGAATTAGAGTGAGAGCACATGACATGTATTCTGGAGTAACTTGACTTTCTCTGAAGTAAAAGTGGATTGGATGTTGATATACATCACACAGGCCACATCTACATGAGATGCTGACTGCACAGTAACCTGAGTTACTGCGCAGTACCACCGACAAATGGCTTTTTTGTGACACTGACTGCACAGTAGCTCAAGACGACTGTGCAGTAGCATCGCGTCATGGTTTGTGCCATGAGGTGCTACCGCACAGTAGTCTGGAGCTACTGTGCAGTCAGTGTCTCATGCAGATGCAGCCACTGAATCATGAAATGTTTGGGGTTTTTTAAATTTCTGTAGATTAACCACAACAGAATAGTGTTTCTGATATGCAAGAAGTGCATATTGCATATGCTTTATTATATATATGTGAAGCCTTATATATGCAGACATTAAAGATCAATTAATTTCTAATCAAAGAACAGTCTGAAAGTATACCTGTTCCTGTACGTTTTTCCTGGAGTAACCAAAATAATCAAAGAGCATTTTGGAAACCTGCTCTGGAACTCGGCCATCGATCCAATACAAAGCCTTGCTGGTGCTGTCAGGGAAAAACCCTTGTTGTCCAAACAGTGCTTCTAGTGTTGGCTCAAAGTTCTTTCCATCCAAGCCGATCTGAAATAAGTAAAGCATTATCATAACTGAGACCCCTTCCCCATTTCCTGAGAAAGCTCTGCAGCACAGACACTATCTAGTGACCAGTGTTTCAAGTATATATTGCATGCAGAGAAAGCTTTAGAAAAAAGTTTTCCTGTGCAGCAAGGCTGAGAAGCAGGCTGCTGCATACCACTTACAATTAAATTCATCCCCGTGAAGATGACTAGCAACACAACTCATGCAGTGTTTTTATATCTCTTAATTCCTAACACAAGTACTTAGGTATATCCTTAGTAGGTCATAGAACTCTAGCCAGGTTATCACCTAGCAATGCATTGTATTTTTACTTGGTGCATCTACACAAGATGCTTAATGCACATTAGACTAATTCTACAGTGCATTAGCATGTTATGGCAAAAGCCATGCTAATGTGCTAATGTGCAGGAGAATTAGTCTACTGTGCATTACTTTTCACAAAAAGACCATGCGCTGGCGCTGCTGTGCAGTAGCTCCAGTTACTGCACATTTAGGTAGTAGCTCATATTAGAGGTACTAAACTTAATGCACAGTAACAACAGCACATTAATACATGTGTAGACAAGCCCACTGAGACTTTGCATGACAGTCTAAACCTGTAATGCACCTAGATGTGCTGGTAATGGGTGTCAGCAAAGGAGGTGACTTCACAGAAAGTCCACTGAAATCAAAGGAAAGAGTTCAATTGACTTAAGAGGGCTTTAGACCGGGTCCTAAATGCTTCTGAAAAGAAATTTTACTTCAGTGCAAGTTTTGCAAGCAAGCAAGCAAGCAGGACAGAAAGAAAGAAAAGTTGCAAAATAGCAAAAAAAGTGGTATACCTCAAAGATATCCATTGGACTAAACCCATACACTTGCAAAGTAGTTTTTAACATGGTTTCTTTAGGAACAGCATTGTTTGGCTCAAATAAGAGGTTCCCTTCCACTCTGGCGGAGAAAGAGTTATTTCCTGGCAGAGACACATTTTTGGAAATCTGATAATTCCGTGAGAACTTTTTGAAATCCCTGGCTGTTGGAATCTGGAATCCTTTAAAAGCTTCTTGTAATTTGTTTTTCAGGCTGAAAAAAGGACAAGAAATGCATGGAAATACAGTTAATATAATATCACAAGTATTTCAGTCTTAGATCATTTGGGAATTTTGATTCAGTCATATTGACTGCAATTAGTCAATGCTTTTCCCATGCTCGTGTAGTGTAGTCCGATCCTCAATCACTTTAAACTGTTTGTATTCAAAACACTGGCTTACCTCAGCCAGTGACCTAGCCTTCTGACTTCAGATTTTTTTAAATAATTTTTTTTAAGTTAACCATTATCTTTCAGGGGAAAAATATAAAACCATTGAATACGATCTGAGCATTGCAGTTAGGTTCAGAATTTCATTCCTAGGTCAGCACTGCTCAATTTAATTTTGCACTTACAATTCAATGCCTATTTCTTCAGAGTCCAAAATGTTGGTAATGTGTGAGCTGACAAAACTTTTCACTTGTTCATTCTTGTCCTTTGAGACAGTTTTCACAATTTTAACAAGATCAGACTGGGAAGGATTTTTCATGATCATGAGATAGGCTGCCAGACGTTTTTCAACTGGAGCATCAGCTTCTTGGAAAATTGTAAGCAGCACTGCACGGTCCTATACCAACAATGAAAAGTCAATTAGTGTGCTATAATCTGGTCAATAAATGAGATGCCTATCCCTGTCTGAAACATATTGGATCATGCTATTCCTTTAAGGACAGTTAAGCCGCTTATTTCCACAACTGATAAAAGTTTTCTTTTTAGCAATTTGTTTCAATACGTAAAGTGAAGGTTGCGTCTCTGTATTTGTTACAACTGATTTCATATTTTGTTTGCAGCAACTGAAAAAAGTGGATGAAAATTGAAATACGTTCCTTTTGGACTGTTGAAAACAAGAATGTTTTCAGTTTTTTTAATCCCCAAAAGTCAAAGACAGTTACAGAAAAAATTCATAGATTCATAGATTGTGAGACTGGAAGGGGCCTCGGAAGATCATTAAGTCCAGCCCCCTGCACCAAGCAGGAAAGACAACTGGCAATGAAATGACAATGAAAATTATTTTATTTTTTTTCCATGGGGGTGGGTGCGGGGAGGAGGGGGGGAAACATTTTCCAAAGAGATTTTTTGATATATGTAATAGTAGTAGTACTATATGTAGTAGTAGTAGTACTAAGTACTCCAACTTTAAAATAGGGCTAACTGAAAGTCTTAATTTCTATTCTACAGGAAATTATGATGTTCTGCAAAAAACTGTGTTCCATTTTGAAACTAACCTTGAAATTCAAAGTTGAATTTTCAAAATGTTATGTCAAAGGGAAAAAAAAATGTAAATGATCAAAACAGTTTACTTCAAAATTGTTTAAATATAATTGAACCTGGGAGCATAAATGCTCAGGTCCTCAGTTCAGCCAGTGCACTCTCAATTCCCCAGCAGTGTTGGATTTACCTCTTCAGTAAGAGTCATTTTCCGCAAGGCCTGGATGGCTGATTTCTGAACTGAAAGTGTTGCAGCTTCACTTTGGATGCAGGTCCTAACAGCAGATTTCAGACTCGGATGAGCTTCTTCCAGTACACTGCCCATGTTTCCTATAGCCTGTGAGCAATGAAAACAAGGCAATAAACACTTTTTTCTTCACCACCCAGAACGTAGCGCTACACCCTTTTACTGTTTGAACAGAACAGCTCCTGTACATGGGAAGGGAAATGAAATACCCTTAGTGTGAGGTAGGCTAGTTCATTATCTCCAGAGCACTCATTGCCAAGCAGTGATTCCATGAATTTTGCAACATCCTTCACTTCTTCTGTTATAATATTCCTCTCTCTGTAGAATCTATGGAGAGACAGAATGGAACGGGGAACCATCAGAATCTCCTTACTTGGATGTGTCTAATTGGATTTGTTTTCAATCAAATGACATTAGGTCTCAATAATTATAAGACTGCTTGACCCCACCCCCACCTTCCGTTCCCCGAAACTATATGTAGTTAGTCCTCACCCATTAACAGTGTGGCTTAAGGCATAAAAAGAAGCTCGACTTCGCAGATGCTGGGCCATGTTAAGAATTTCCCGTAGTCTTTTCGGACATGGAGAAGGCACCAATCCAAGTGTGTATGTAACTATGTCTGCTACAAGAGGACTGACGTGGCCACTTCGCAGTATCTGTAGGATGGCACTGTAGCACTCTAGGGTACCGCACTGAGTCAGAGCCTGTATCGTGATAGAACTGAAAGCAAAAGAGAGAGTTTACGTCAGCTCCATGTTTGTGAGGATATAACCATGCCACACTTCTTTGACGCTCTTGGCTCCAACTCTATCCTAGTGAAAATGGACATTTTCTATAATTAAGAGAGGTTTTTGCATCGCTAAGGACCAAGTCTTGAAATTCAGATTCAGATCTGAACTTCTTGTCATCCCCAGCAGTACAGATTCTCAAATCCAACACATTGCAGGTAATGGTCCAAGTCAAAAACAGACAAGGATTCAAGAGTCTTCTGGTTTCAGAAGGGGACTTCTCACTGACCTTTTGGTTCAGGCTTATCCTCAAGCCTTTTTGATCCCAGCTATACACGTAAAACCTCTATTCATTCATTCATTCATTCATAGTTTCATTTACCTGAAACTATACTTGTGTGCTGTAAATATGTGTCTGTGAGTGCATTGCAGCATCATATTGCTTACACAATAGCCAGCTATGTGTAACAAAAAGGTTCTTATAACACTGCTATAACCAATTTGCACCCTTCCCATGCCCACAAGCAAACCCTTAATCTCCATGATATGATAAGCCAAACTAACACTGCTTTTTCCAAATCTGTGAACTGAATAAAATGCAACCAGGAGGGACACATTTGGACAGAAAAGTTCTGGATCATCCAAAATCATCTGCTCCCTACAAGTAGTGATGTAGTAGCAGCAGGCATCGGGGTCATAATTAGTGTATTTGAGCAAATCTGTTCCTTGTATTGCCCATGTAAGGTTGAACCTATATCTATCTAATCTTTAAAACCTATACATGAGACTGTGCATGGTAATGCAGTAATGTGGGGATGGCTAGCATCTATGATTGCTGGTTCACTAATTGTTGCATGGTGCTAATTGCATGCCGGTATGGGAGTAGATCAGGAAATGCTGTGGATTTGATAGCACATTTAGCAGAATTGATTGTCTTTTAGAGGCCAGTTCCCCAATTAATATAAGATGATGAACAGCTATGGAGAAAATGTAAAATTTTACTTTTCAGCGAAAGGTAAGGATTTAAATAAAAACATAATGCTCTAAACCCTGTTGAAATAGATGATTACCAAGCTGATTTTGTTTGGGGATAATATTTAATCGTGCTTACCCTCCTCTCTCTAGCCTGTTCACATGGCCTATCTTTCAAAATGTTCAATATTGCAACATGCAAGATTAGGCACGAATTAGGCACTATTTATAGCAGAACATCAGGTTTGGAATTGATTTAACCCCATATTGCAACATGGTGTTTTTGCATAACACAAGAGCACACTGCTGCGTACATACCTGGAAGTTTCAATCATCTTTGGAACAAGAGAACCAAGCGTGTCATTGTGTAAGCTTCTAAGACCGGATACAAATCTGTAAAAGAGCCTTGGTCTCTGCTGGTTGTTCTGGGAAGAGGATAGCTTCTGTAGTTCCTCAAGGGTTTTCAGAACAGAATCTCCAAACTTTGAAGATTTAGCATTCGAATTTTCAAGTGAAAGTCCTCTCTTTTCCAGTGCAGCTAAAAAGCAGCAAAACATATTAATTACTTCTTTACTGAAGGGGTATGTTATTTCTGACTACTCCTTTCCACCCATTTGCATAATAACATTTCTTTTTCAGTCTTGTATAGCTGCTGATGTGGCTAAACCATTCATTTTCCCCAAACTAGCATATGCACAGCAGAATAAACATCACAGTTATTTCCTGAAGTTTTTCTTTTTTTTTTTCTCTGACTGTAAGTATTGACCACTTTACATAACCTCCCAAATGGTTTCAGTCTTCCCAAATTGCTTTTTGGGTGTAGTTTACTATTCACCAAAAAAATATTTGTATCTGTGCAGAGCCATGTCGCACCTTCATCAAAGGTTCTGCTGTTGCTCTTTGGGGTGTCTTCGAGCTTCAGTGTCTGTGTAACTTGTGTCATTATTCCATACCGATTTCTAGGAAACAAAGTTAAGATACAGCACTTTAGTTGAGTCTAAATAATTTAGATGGATCTTGTCTGATTGTAACTGTGTTACAATTCATGCAGTTGACAGGAGAATGAGTCAGAATAGAATTTGACCATTTATTTTTCATGATTCATATTTGCAAAGAAAGGATAAAATAAAATAGCATGCAGCCTACTTGTACGAGGAAGGCAGGAACAGGTGTTTTTCACTACACACCACTTCAGACACGTGCCGTCTCTTGGTATCAATAGAGTACTGACAGTACTGAGTGCTCTTGATCAGGGTTGACAAGGGACTATCCTGTAAAAATGAATTGGATGATCATTTTTCTTTGTATCATTTCAGTAAAACAAATAGTTTGCATTTGAGAAGTTCAGACATGGTGAAAGCAGCAATGCTGTTTAAATTGTCATTGACGTCGTAGCTTTTTGCTAAATAATTCTGCAAATATCATTCCTGATCCTGAAGCCTCTACAGATGCAAAAACCCTACTGAGGCTTTATCTCAGGTGTCAATCAAATTAGTGAAATGTTTGCTTGAGGAGGAACTGTAGTAGAGGGGTTCTGATAATACATTTTATTGAACCAACTGAATATTATTTTCATTTCAATGAAAAGATGGGGGTTAGATTAGATGACCTCCCGAGGCCCCTTAAAGCCCTATTTTTCTATGACTTACATTGTTTTCATTGACAAATGAAAATTGTTTTATCTGGTATTTAGCTTTGGCCATCTCTGCTTTTTTCCCTGACCTGAAGAAGGGCAATTTGTGTCTGGAAGCTTGTCTGACATCTCCCCCAACTATTCGGTTGGCCCACTAAAAGTGAATACCAAAGAATCACTTGCTTCTCATGTACTGCCTGGAGCATCATGGCTACAACAACCCTCCAACCCTACTAGGTACAAATAGATTGATCCTTTATAGCAGGGGTGTCAAATATATGGCCAGAACTAGCCTATTGATTCTCTTTATCTAGTCTGTTGAACTAATGGCTGGCAACCAGAAGCTGGGGGATATGGCTTGCTGCAGAATGCAAGGCCCTTTGGCTCATGGCCACTGGCAGAAAGTTTGACTCACTGACATGGCTGCCCCCAAACTCTTCTTGTGCCCTTGAACACCTCCTGCTACCTGGACCCACTGCTACCCCTGGATTTCTGCTGGTGCTGGACCCCTCACCACCTCCAGACCCACTGCCACTGCCATCATGGTGACCACCCAGCCTGCTCCCATGCCCCAGATTGTATCAGGCACACAAAAAGCCCTGAAGTCCAGATCCAGAGTGGGGTCCCATGTAAGTTGACAACCCTGTTTTACAGGCTCTGGGAAAGGAGACACTCTCGACTCATGAAGTAATTTGCAATGGTTAGAAAAATTCAGACACTAAAACAACTGGTGTTTCTTTTCATTCTTTTGTGGAGTCTGCACTTACAAAGAATTTATAGATTCCTATGAAGGGCAAAAAGCATAAGCACACTTATCCTAGGAGCAAATCTTGAAATGTGTGAGCAAACATTTGTGCATGAGCAACTTAGATGAAAACAGCCTGATTTGTCTCTGAAGATAGGACTTATCAAACAGTTTTACTAGGTTCATGTGGTACCTGCATATGGAGGCTGGTTACAGGCAGTGTATATGTGTAAGTTGAAAGACCTGAACTATAAAGTTTAATGAAATATTTAGCTTATCTTGGTCCATGCCTTATAAGACATTGCCGTTCTTAGAGTTGAAGGTGTATATACATATTAATAAAAAGATTAGCTTTTACAAGTGCTGTCTAAAAACATGTCACAATTCAGTATTCATGGGAGGAATATGAAAGAAGGGGAATTGCTATTCTTTCCTCTTTTTTTTCCATTTACTATCACCATGACAGTAAGTAAAAATCATAGATCAGATTCAGTTCTCACAGATGTGCATGCAGCACTATCAGGGTCTTCAAAAATACATTTGAATAAAAGTTTACCTTATTTGTAATGGTCATGGTTTCTAGAAAATAATCTAGCTCTAGTTATCAAAGAATGCTCTTAAACAATATTATTCCTTGTGAACTTACCAGTCCCTTTATAAGGGCAATTGGGCTGACATGTTCTCTAACAGGATTGAAGTTATCACAGGTTTTCAGGTTTCTGTTCATTGAAATATCTGTTGCTATGCTTCCTTTTCTGGTCCTGACTTCAACTTCAGTGTCACATTTTCCATAGACAGTATCCTGGAAAGGAGTGAAAAATTAGCATAATTGTTCATGTTACCAGACAAGTCCAAATTCAGCTACAATGGACCCTTTCTACCAAAATTCCTGAGCAAGAAATTCAGGATTGGGTTCACTAAGTGAGATCTGCTGGAGAAATAAAAGTAACTGTTCTCAAATTCCTACCATGGGAACAATTTTGGTTTTGTCTTCTGTTTCCATTGGCACCAGAAGAGCTGAAATGATCCCCCTCTTGATGTTAAGAATATTCACAGACTCGTGCTTCTCAGGGTAGAGCTGGACTTTTGTCCCATCCTGCATGTTAAATTTCAGCTCATGCCTGTCAGAAAGAAAAAAAAAATATTAGAAATGTGACAAAGTAGAATAGCAAAGCGGTGGATCCTTTGTCACCCAATGTCTTTGTATCAAGACTGGATAACTTCTTGAAAAAAAAAATGTTCCTCCTCCACCTCAAGTTATGTTGAAGTTCTTTGTCTGTGAAATACAGGACAGAAAAGTAGCATTTGGGACTTCTTCCAGAAGGATGCTCCCTGCATAAGCAGAGGCACTGAAACAAGTGACAAAGTGAGTGTAGACATAGGAGACAAAAAAGTGTTGGAGACTGGTGGAGCAGAGGCAGGATATGCATTACTTTACAAATGCAGGTAGGTCGTTATGTTGCGAAGGATTATAAAGATACAACTGGGCTGCAGTCTGAGCCCATTTTTTCACGTGTAAGCAGTACCAATTGCAGACGGTGTTTGAGAATATTTTCCATGCAGGGGACCTGTCCACTATCAGAAATGTACCAGTGGAGACTCTGGTAATTCCTATACCATAACCCACCAGTAGAAAGGGACCTGGCCAGGCATCCCAGAGACAGCAGAGCTCAGTTATACCATCTTCCTGTAGCGTGACTTATGTGTGTCCCTGACTAGCCCTCAACTGTATTGAGACCAAGTGAGCCAGTGAGCTACAACTAGTCTCCCCCAATTCGCTTCAAAATCTGGGTCAGAACAGCCATGGACCTCAGCCTTTTTTTCAAGGCAGGGCAGATTGTCACACTGTGGTATAGCCTGCATTTTTACTTACTGGGACATAGCACTGGCAAAGTCATCTGAGTTCTTAGATTTTTTCAGCATAGCCTTTCCCTCAGCATCCGTACCAAATACCTCCCGCAGGGTGCACTGGCTTGTCTTCAGGATAAAGCTGCACAGCTGTGGGACCTCCAGTTCCACCTGGAAACACACAGGATATGCGTTTGCTCCTTCTTTCATTAGCACTACCTCGGTTAGCATCTTGAATGACAGCAGACTTCCTAAAATTCATTTTTAAGTAACACTGTGGATGTCAATAGCAGCTTTTGTCTAAAGAAGTGAAAGCAAGCAGGCTTACAGGTACCCAAGTGATGGTAAAGGTCATCTATTCCTCATTTTGATCAGAAGCTAGATCAGGCATAGAAAAGTTGACTTGCCCTTAGTCCCATAGTAAGTGACTGAGCCCAGAAAAAAGGACCTCCTCTTCTGCTACATTCACCTCAGTAAATTAGGTAACAGTCAGATCTCAAATTAGGGCTGGTCAAACACTTTAATGAACCAGTGGGAAAAAACGATGTTGATTTAACAACATGTTGTCTTCTAAAAGCATCTGTGTTTCATGCAAAATATTGATTTTTGTTAATATTTCATTCATTAAAGTATGTCTGCTGATGACACTTTGATTCAGCAAAAATTGAGCTGGCTGGGAAATACTTTCCCGCATTGCCAAGTATTGTCTCCAGATTATAGTGTTTTTCTACTTCCCCTTTCTCTACCTTGCAGTTCATTTTGGAGCCAGTTCGTGAATCTGCTGTTCCGGACACTCCACTTGCGGTTTCTGCTTCATAGGTGTAAACGTATTTTCTGAGGTGCTTAAATCTGGTTGCCTCTTCTGCAATTAGGAAAGCAAGTACATTTTCATGACTTGTTCAGACAATTTAGATATACATATCCAGGTAGCATTATGAAAATTAAAAGCAATTCCCACAATAGAAAAAACATGTTAAGATATTCCCACTGTTGATTTCTTTTTAAGTTTTGGGCATAAAGACTTCAAGGAAATCATTAGAAAGGGACATGGCATTTTTAAATAAAACTTGAATGTCTTTCTGAGACATCCTCTATGGTTCAAACAGAAGCTACAGTTTTAATACAGCAATTGTTGGTTCTTTGGCTTTGGTTAATTGCCATTAACATCTGATAAAGAGTTAGGAATATTTGGTGCAGACAACTAATGCCACTGTTTTAATAAAAGCCTATGTCTTATGGTCTTATGGAACCACATTCATCTAAAAACAAACAGACCAAACCCCGCCAAGAACTGAGTTAAGTTGCCAAAAATTAGCACCAAAAAAGGACATAACCCTGAAACCAGGATGCTGAACTATAGAAGAATCTAAAAATCCTCTCTCAGTTACCATCCTTTCTAAGTACATGTAGGGAATATCAGTCAAAGGATTCAGATGAATTAATCCTGATCACCTGTAGATGGTGCTAGTGTCAAATAAGGGAAAGTAAAGACCACTGGGGACAACACCAACTCATCAGATACTTTGACCCTCCCTGAGAACATTATGTATCCAGCAAGAAGTCAGGGCCAATCAGGGTTCATGACAAAGGTTGCACATAAAGTCAGCATTTCCTTATTCTTGACTTGTTTTAATAAATTATTGCCCTTGCTGATAGAGTTGTTGATGGACTTGACAGATAGTTAGGTAGCCAAGTGCAAATACCTGGGTGTAGCTCAAAGGACTGAATCAGGAGTGAGATTATCAGTGAAAGGTACACGATTCCTGTGTTAAATTTTCAATGTTACAGAAAGAGGGTCTCCAAAGAAGGGATTCACTGCTGGGAATGTGTTGGAAAACCAACAAAGCAAAGAAATGCGGAGTGTATCTCTATGAGATTTTTGCCTAAGAACTCCAGGATATAGTCTATCACATTTATTGTATCTGGCTTAGGATTTATGGAAGAATAAAACCCCACCTCTGGGAAATATCATGAGTTAGCATATTATCAGAGCAAAGTGAATATAAAAAAACAACTCATACTTGAGCAGCTGGGACTTCCGTTCTCAGGCCCCTCTTCTTCTGTAAAGGAGCAGAGTAAGAATTAAAACTTTAGTGTGTGCAACTTTTTTTCTAACGTAATAGTTCAGTTCAGTTTATGAAGGATTCTGGCTGAAAGCCATGCTCCTGGAAACAACATACAACCCTAATATAACTAAATTTAGGCAAAAATAGTAAAACTAATATAACACAGATATACCAATATAAACACAACATTGTGTTTTAGGGGGAGAAACACAGACAAGTAGGACCTTGCTAACTTGTACTAACAAATTAAATTGCTTTTTTTTTTTGCACATGCTGATGTAAGCAATAAAACTCTGATTAATACCAACAGCGTAATCAGGCACCAAGGGCCTGGTTACAGAATTGTTTTGGGCAACTCCTTGGAGCTCTTAACACCTGGACTGTCCACACATTAACACCTAAAACTAGTATTGAGCACTTGTGATGCTCAAAGGTATGCCACTTCGGGACATATACTTTGTGAGTTAGCCATTGAGGGCCCAATTTTAGGCTCACGAAACTAAATAGTAAAGTCAGGTTAACAGTGCAAATGTATACAAAGCTCTGTGCTATATGAAGTATGTGCTACATAAAGTCCATGGATGACGGAGTGAGGTAGAACGCACCAATGTGCTCGGGGCTGTTTATTATTTACGTTGAACATTGTAATTTGTTATTAATTGTGGAAATATTGCAGACTGGATCACTGGCTGCACTGTGGTCTAACTGCCTTTGTAAAAATAATGACAGCTTCACTGTACGGGACTTGTTTGCCCACAAGCAGGGAGAAACCTCAAATTTCATGGACTGGCAAAAAGCAGATCAATATATAATTCACCTGATGTAATGACAAATGTAAATAGATCTGTTGAAAATGTTGTTGAATTTAAGCAATATTTGGATTCCACAAGGCTGCGCCATTGCTTACGATGGGTCTGAATATTGAAAAGGCATGCTGCCGTGGACACAGACAACGATCCAAAGCTCACTGAAATTAATAGGAGTTTTGTGCTTTGTTTCAGTGCAGATTGAGAGAGACCCGTATTTCTTTTTCCATAAAAATAAAATGTATTTTATGGAATGTAATAATTTTAGCAACAAGATATAGGATCAGATCCAGCCTTCACATGACACTAGAGGAGTCGAGAAAGGTACATTTTGGATGAAGCTGATGGTACTGCCATGCATAACACCTGATTTTCCAAACAGCATTCACTGCAGCAGTGCAGGAGTCAGTCCCTTTCCTTCACTGCACTTTACAAACAACAGCAACACTAAACAACCTAAATAGCCACTGCCAGGGAAGGAAGGAGTTTGTTCCCAAGGACACAGCATGACAAAATATACAGATCAGAATTACCACACCCTTTAACACGCGGCCTGTGTCAAACTGCCGTGTTTCCTACCAAAGACATCACGTTTTATTGCTCACCTCCCATCACCGTTACAGTAAAATGAATTGGCAATAACCTTACTGATTCTCCATAATAAGCAACAGTGACCACACTAAAGAACAACAACGAGGCAAAAGCAAACTAGCAGAGCCATGCTTAATGTGTCAAATAAAAATAAACCAACGAAACCAGGTGCTACTTCCAACGTTTCTTTCTGTGGAATTACTGCAGGTCCCTCTCTTAGGGGACAACCCCACCATGGCAAAGAATTGCATCTTTCTCAACTAGAGGAGATGGTTTGTGGCACTCTTGATTTTTACCTCCCTGCAGTTTCACTGAGGGGTGGTCACAGGAAAAGCAGCAGCAAGCCCTTGAATAATATAAGGTACTACTTACGAGCGAGAACATCGCTGCTCAGCAGGAGCAGCAGCAGCCAGAGCTGCAGAGGGCCCATGGCGAGCACCGGCCACTCTTGCAGCCCTCGCTGTGTCTCCTCTTCTTTCCCCCTTCACCTCCTCCCACCACAGCTTCAGGAAGAGAATGAGCCTCACGACTTGGACCTGCATTTATATAGTCCATGGCAAGCAGCTGAGCCAAAGGGTTTAGAAAGTTCAGAGCAAATTGCAAAAGGTCCAAAGGTTGGAGTCCCGGATCCTCTTTTCAATTCCACACCAGGCTCCGACTGGTCTGTCGAGAGCTCCAAAAGGCAGAAGAAGACTGAATATTTATCAGAGATTAGTTATTCTGTCAGGTCATTGGTGTTTTTCCTTAGTGGAGTTTTAAAAGTGAAATACTTCAAAATAGAAAATAGTAATCCAGCTAAAGAGTTTTCCTACTTTTAGCTAGAAAAAAAATACACCATGTAGGTTGTAAAGGAAAAAAGCCAGCACTACTGTAAGTCTGAATTAGTGTGGATGCTGAGAGTCTTGAATAAGACTTATATGTGAGAAATAGGCCATTGTGCAATTCAGACCTTCTCTCTTTACTTAATATGAGCAGGTTGACCTGTTGACATAGGAGGCAGGACAATTTAAAGACTGTCCTTTGCTCCACCATAATGCTCAACATAGCTTGCTAAAGAAAGAGATGCATTTCAGACAGGCTTGCAATACTTGGGAACTGGCCAAGCAAACTGTTGGAGTTTGAATTTGGATGTCCTGAATTCTTGTTGGGTTCAACCAGTCCAGATGTTTAGGTTTTGGTTCCTTGTTTGTAAGCTGCTGTGACAAAGAATTGGATATGAAAGAATGATAAAATGGACACGTTGCGCACAGAACTCAAGGAAAGAAAATAAAAACCATACAGTATCCTTGAGCATTTTGGTACAGACTAGGGCTAGTTGTCAAATCAGAATTTCATCCCACAGGACATTCCAGTGTTTAGAAATGTTTTCATCCCAAATTAATATGGAAAGTCAAATATTGGAATTTGTCAGCAAATGGAGAGCTGTGAAGCTTGGAAGTACCGCCCTACCAAAATAGTTAATTTTGATGTATTTTATCAAGATGAAATATTAGTAAGTTCATTAGTTCTGCATGTGCCATATTCTGCAGTTCAGCTGTCTTAGCCTAATGCAGGTCTTGCCTATCTGAGACTCTTTTTGGACAAATTGGCTAACTCCGTATCTCGACTCACCCTCCATTTGGAGATTTGAAGAGGACAGTTTCAATGTTTTCTATAATATATATCCATCTGGAGTGACAATTTCACGATGCTCATAAAGCTTCCCTTTGTGACACTACTACTTGTGCCTATTGCTAATCATTGTCTGTCTGTCTAGACAGATCATCAGAGACTTTAATATCAGTTTCTAACAGTGCAAACATTGTTCTATTGAAAAAAAGTGACTGCAAGTGACAACCCATGTTTCATTAGTGCTACTCTGTAATTTAACAGCACTAAATACTTATTACAGTCTTTGGAAGTTATTTATTTTCATCCAGCCCATTGGATAATGGGGACTAGAAGTTTCAAGTGTAAACCAGTACTTCCATGAACACCAATTAACTCATGCCCACCAAACTGCGGCCCATTGCCAGACATTCCTATGTCAGCTTTAATGTACCTAACAAAAATAGATGTAATAGGCACAATCACCTGCTTTGCTGTAGAATCACCGAGTAAGGTTACTTCTGTGAAGGAGCAATGATCATGTACAGTATGCACATAGATTTTTTTCTTGCCAGCCACTGTAAAACAAATCTGTGCTTACTTTGCTCCAAGGGGACCAATTTTTCCTGCATTGGGCTTTTTTGTTTGACTTGGCCTGCATTTTTGGCATACGTGACAAGCTTTAGCAGTTTCCACAATGTTCATCTGAAGCTTAAAACGTCTTTGCCCCATCTTTTACATTTTCCATTCCCAAATGGAGCTTTGTGTATCCTCTTCTAATGCATTTTCTGTATCCTTTTAAGAACCACCCTACTGCTGCTTTGAACAAAATCCCTTTAAATACTGATCTCTTAAACTGGTCACAGGAGCTAGGCAGATATGCTGTCCAAAGACATGACATTTTTACACCCACCAACTTGGGTCTTCTCTTTTTGAGCATACTGGGTGCATCTACACAAGATGCTTAATGCGCAGTAGCTTAATAACACTGTGAAGTAGCATGGCGGACAAAAACCACGTTAATAATATGCTACTGCACAGTAGTATTAGACTACTGCCCAGTAAGCATCACTAAAAAGCCATGTGCCAACAATACTGCACAGTAACTATAGTTACTGCGCATTTAGTTATTACTTCATTAAGCAAGTACTAAACTAAATGCACAGTAACTACTGCACATTAATGAACATGTAGATGTGCCCACTGTTCAGTTTTTATAAGAACCAATGATGCATGAACTGTTGGTCTATAGTTTTGACTATACAATTATAAAAGTGTATACTTTATATTATACTGTGCCAATACAGTCACATCCATTTTTACATGTAGGGCTAAATCTCGCTTTGCTTTATGCACCCAAGAGCAGTTTCTGGTACTTTTACATAGTCCAAAACCTGTATATGTGAGGGTGGCCCAGAACTTAGGTGTGCCCACCCTGATTAACTGCCTTGACCATTAGCTATTGGGCAAAACAGCAGGAAGGCCACCTCTTGTTAGGTGTACAGCAACTTCGAGTACAATTTTGGGACGTACCTGGCCTGACACATATTCCCAGGCAATTGTGTTTTGCTGTGTAGATGCTTGGCTAGAATGCAGGTCTACTGAGCATGCTCAGTAGGCCCACATAGGGAAAGCTGCATTGCAAACTGTGCATGAATGCTGAGAAATGCAGTTACTCTGCTGTGTACATGCCATATACAGGCATAAAGTAAAAGGGGACTCAGCCTGTATTGGATAAGCTCATAACTTGCTTAACTACACAAGACAATATGGGTACCAGTGTTATGCCTATCACATACATTACAGCTGGTGACCTACTTTTAAATAGTGGCAAGACAAAGAGTTTTTCATGGCCTGCTTGCAGCACACAGAGCTGATTTTGCAGGGATTTTGTGGCAGCTCCACCCCTTGGTGCTGATTGGTAGAGGCCCTGGTAGTGGGAGGAGGACAAGGGGGCAGCTGCCATTTTGCCACCAGCCCTTCATGCTGCCCCACCAGCCAGTGCCTTCCTCTCCTCGCAGCAAGGGCCACGGCTCCCACTGGGGAGCCAACATTTTATTTTTATTAAGTTTTTTTGATGGGGATTTCCTGGACAATCCCGGCTTTCATGGTTTCTGTGAAATCCATGAAACTGCAAATTAAGTAGGCCCTTAATTATAGCAAACACTGGTTAACTGTATAATCCACTAAATGGCCTAGCATTTTTCAGCCCCACTTCCTACCTCACAATGTACTGTATTATAAATGGTGAAACTGGGAAGCAGCCGTGACACTGATTATCTGCCATCAATTTCAAGGCTAAAGCCAGGGAGCTGACATTGCTACATAACCCTGACAAGCAGTTTAAATAGCTGCTACCAGCTTGCAAGCAGCATTTTGATTAATTGAGTCTTTCTGCATTGTGAATGACAATTGTTCTGCTCTGTGATTGGCAATAGTTAACTACGCCTGCTTGCACTACATCTGGGAAAGTGCATAGGCTTTTTTGAATACTGAGGCTCTGCACTTACATGGAGTCCACTGTGCACTGTCTTCCAAGGAGGACAGAGGCATAGTAAGCACCTTATAAAGTCACCGAAGTAGGTAGATAGGTAGGTAGGTGGGTAGCTATCATGAGCTTTCTGAGCTAAAGCTTACTTCATTAGATCTAATGAAGTGATTGTGCTACACACGCACATACACACACACATACGCCCTTTTATTAGTCTGTAAGGTGCAAATATACGCTGCCTTCCAAGAAAGAATCCAGAAACCACTTTGGTCACTGTTTACTATCCCTCAGTGTCAGGCCTCTTTAATTAATTCAGTCTCTTGCGTCCTTTATCGGGGGTGGGATTTGCACAGGAGCACTCTCAAGCTGCTAGTTCAAGCAGCCGTGTCTATTAAAAATGTCCTTGCATTCTTCACCATTCCACAGGGGATAAGAATTCGTTGCGTGCGCTGCAACCGGCATGTTCGTGATAGCCTCACCCTTGCTGTGGCTCTTTCTAAAGCTGCTTGGTTTTGGTCATGCTGTTCTATCATTTTGCCCAGAATAAATGTCTTTGTATATAAACCGGAGTACCCTTTTCACCATCAAAACTTAGCTGTGTTGTCCTGTGAAACACCCTAAGTGCTGACCCTAACCCAACAGTTTCCCCCAAAGGAGGTGTCAAATGTGCATAAACACAGACACGTGTGTTTTTCTAGGGGCGCCTGCCAGCACCCTGCTGGTGCATCAAGCATAGAAAAATATTTGACATCAGCTTTCTTTCCCAGAGCTTCTCTGCTTTTGACATATTTATTTAGTTCTTTTGAGTCTATTCATAAGCAGAGGCCTCTTATCTTTTGACTATAAAATGAACTCATTCTATTAGAGCTTTTACGTGTTTTACTATTTCTCAAACAAGAAATCTATCAAGCTCCTCCTTTAGCCTCTGGGAAAGGGATACTATCCTAGATGCATGAATTGTGGGGCATTTGGGTTATTTCAGTTCCATTCTGTACTGGGCTGACAGCTTCCTCATCTCCCCAAAGATGTTCCCCAACTCATACTCATGTTTTGGTCTTCTCTCTGTCTAGAGTGCACCCTCTTTATCAGGCTTAAGGCTTGATATAACTTTATCCCACTAATGAGTACATGTCCTATGGTACATTAACAAATGGTGTCCTTGCTAGTTTGTTATATACCTTGCATTTAGCTCACATGCTCCCATCCTGGAGTTACCTTACAGTAAGCTTCAGATTGTACCTGTTTTGCTCGTGCTTTCCCTTTCAGTGCTTCTATCATTGTTTCTGGCTGGTGCAACCACGTCCAATTTAAAATGATTAAAGGTCCCCTTCACTTCCAGGTGGAGAGTCCAGTCATCTTCTACTTCAGCCTTGTCTATTACTTCCCTGAAGAATCACTCTGAGCATGTGTTGCTGTTGCTATCTTCTTTGCT